CGAAATATAATTATATACTTTTTCCAGTGCCCGCCCCCTCCCAGAAAATTCTACCCCCGCCCCCGAAAATTTCAAGTACCCCCACCCCTCTCCGGGGAGGAAAAAGTCTGAAAGAAACACTGAAACCAACCCACCCCCCACAAACCACCCCCACCCCCCACACACCACCCCCACCCCCCCACCCCCCCCCCACCCCTCCACCCCCCCCCCCCCCCCCCCAAATAAAAAATTGTCTACCGTCCCATTGCAAGAAAACCACTTTTTAGATTAGACACATTAATTTTATTATAGAGTATCGATGAGGAAATTTCTTTTGAGTTGGGGAGGGGGAGGGGCTCAGACGTTCTTACGCGGGGGGTGGGGCTTCGCCCCTACCCGAAGAATTGTATGCAAGAAACTCTTCACGCAAACCACTTAGATTAGACCAAATTGCCTTTGTATTGAATGTTTACACGATAATCAATGACGTCATATAACTGTGTGCACTCTCTGGGTTTGAGATTATTTTCTACTCTGTGCGCTAAATGTGTCGACGTCATACTTCGTTTTTCGAATTACTATGCATGTTTTTAAATTGCTTGTCTTTTCTCTAGAGCGTTCTTGTCAGACAGATAGATAGATAGATAGATAGATAGATAGATAGACAGACAGCGAAACTATTATTATAGACGAGAAAAATGGCCCGTTGAGGAAGGGTACAACGGGCGCTAGGCTGATAGTGCTGTCTCTTTTCTCTAAACTAAAACCAACCCACCCCCCCCACACACCACCCCCACCCCACCCCCCCCACCCCCACACACCACCCCCACCCCCACCCCCCACACACCACCCCCCACCCCCCCCCCCCCCACACACCCCCCCCCACACACACCACCCCCCACCCCCACCCCCCACACACACCACCCCCCCACCCCTCCACCACCCCCCACCCCCAAAAAAAACATGTCTACCGTCCCATTCAACGAAATATAATTATATACTTTTTCCAGTGTCCGCCCCCTCCCAGAAAATTCTACCCCCGCCCCCGAAAATTTCAAGTACCCCCCACCCCTCTCCGGGGAGGAAAAAGTCTGAAAGAAACACTGAAACCAACCCACACACCACACACCACCCCCACCCCCCCCCCCCACCCCCACACACCACCCCAACCCCCCCCCCCCCCCCCCCCCCCCACACCCACCCCTCCACCCCCCCCCCCCCCCCCCCAAAAAAAAACATGTCTACCGTCCCATTGCAAGAAAACCACTTTTTAGATTAGACACATTAATTAGGCGGTAATTTTATTATAGAGTATCGATGAGGAAATTTCTTTTGAGTTGTGGAGGGGGGGGGGGGGGGGGGGCTCAGACGTTCTTACGCGGGGGGTGGGGCTTCGCCCCTACCCGAAGAATTGTATGCAAGAAACTCTTCACGCAAACCATTTAGATTAGACAACATTTCCTTTTTTTCAATGTTTACGCGATAATCAATGACGTCATTTTACTGTGTGCACTCTCTGGTTTGAGATTATGTTCTACTCTACGCTAAATGTGTCGACGTCATATTTCGTTTTTCGAATTACTGTGCATGTTTTTATTTTCCTTGTGTTTTCTCTAGAGCGTTCTTGTCAGATAGATAGATAGACAGACAGCGAAACTATTAGTATTAATTAAGGCCCGAAATAGATTCTAGATGTAGAATTTACATTAAGTCTAGATCTAAAATTTACGTTAAGTCTAGTGACCTAGATCTAGATTCATAACTTTTTTTAGCGCAATTTCCTTACAGGAATTGCGATTACTCGTCATTTCTGGATGGATGGATGTGCGCAGCTTTGAGTCGTATCTCCTCCTCAACGAAGCAATATCGAGGACTAGTTACAAAAGCAAATATGTTAAGCAAGTTCCGAGGATGATTGTGGGCTAAAAAAATTCCTGGAATTCCTTCCTGGATTTCCCGGAAAAGCCAAAAAAACTCGAAAAAAATGCAGTTTTTGGCCCATATCTCGGCAACCAGACCACTTAGCGACTTTAAACATTTACCAATCGATTCCTGCCATAATGTAGAACAATATTGCCGAAGAAAGTTTTCAAAAATATCCTTTCGTTCGGTCACAAAAAATTAATTAAGGAAATTGCGCTTAAATTGTCACTAGACTTTTTATTAACTTGTTTTTTATATACAGACTTATTCAGTATGATAAATATAATGGTAATAATTCTCACTTCACTTGTCATTTCCATTATGTGTTTTTAACTGGCAGAAAATTGTGCACGAGATGTTTTTGCTTTCATAAAAATTGCCTTCAAATATTAATTGCAAATATTCTGCACATGGAACGTTTTTTTTTAATCTGTCCGGCTCATTAGCCTAGAGTGACCACCATATTACATTATTGCAATTATGTTTGGTGCCATCATTCCAGACACATAATTAATTCGTCGTTTATCCTCCTATACCGGATAAAATCAAAGTCCCAAAGAGTAAATAGTATTTTGCTTGCCATGACACTGACAGCATCATTGGCCAGCACATCTAAAATAAACCAGGAGTGATCTCCCCTAAATTTTCTTCGAATATTCTTATATAACACTACGGGGGATGGTAACTCGGGATATAGACATGATTTTTAATTACTTAAACTTTTAAAAATAGAATAGAATCTCGTAGAAAAAGAATCGCACACTAAGTGAACGCCAAACAAAATGTGTATAAAAGTGCGGAATATTATTAATTAGTAGTTTATAAATTCATATGCGTTTTTTTGTGAAATCGGAAATAGCGTAAATTACTATTTCCGGTCAACGGAAATTACTCAAAATTTGACAGAAGGCAGAGAATTAGATTTTTTTAACATGTGAAATTTCATACTTGAAAAATTGAAAGTAGAATAAGTTCCACTTCCGGTTATCGGAAATAGCTGAAAAGTACACATTTGATATACTACTTAAATGTGAAATTTCATCAACCTAGCTGTAACGGTACTCAAGTTATCGTGTTTACAGACACACACACACACAGAGACATACGGACAAAATTGCAAAACTATGTTTTTCCGACTCAGTGAGGTGTAAAACGTCGAGATCTGTGAACATGTCGATTTTTTTTTTCACTATTACAATACTTCCTCTATACTCCGTATACGAGAAAGTAAAAAAAAATATTTTGTGGAAAGGGTCATAACAATAACATCCTGCCTCATCCAATTCAAGATCTTAAATAAATACCAAGATCTGGCCATGTCAATAGTGACAATAGTCTTGAAAAGTCTTTGTAATCATACTAAATAAAAAAATATCTTTAAAAACAAATATGGCAAGCGATAAAATTATAGTTACATTTCAAAAACTTTAAGCTGTTTGGGAACCATCAATTACACTTATTTTCATATTTTTGTATTGACTATAAGCAGTTGAAAAGAATTATTTTACCAATTCAAATATTTAAAAAAAACGCCTTCAACCTTTCCTTGAAGTCAACCGGAATGGCCAAGGAGAGTAAAATAATGAAAATCAGGACACGTGTTTTCCATGATAAATTTGACAATAGATGTCTATGATATATAGCCTAGTGTTGTATTTATATTCTACAATAAAACATCCCCTATCTCCACAATACCATTGTTCTGCTAATCCAAATTAAAAATAAAAGTGTTAGCTAAATTATTGTTACATTACTAGTACTTATTTGTCGGACTATTCCTAGCCATAAAACCGGAAGTGATTTTGTACTTATTTAACAAATATTAAATTGGTTGAAAATATGCTTTCTGGCAACAACAATTTGGAACCAGCTTTTCATGCCTGTTGGCATAGATCGGTGGTTACTTTATTTTAGGGATTGAAAACAATCTTGGTTTGATTTGTTTTGATATTAATCTTAATGTAAAGGAAAACAGTTTACTATTTGAAAAAAAAAGAAGAGTTCTGTTTCTTAGACATACATGAAAAGATTCGTGCGGCGTCTGAACGGCCAATGTCAAAACGGTCTCGACATAAGAGCCCCGTCTATAGGGCCAGCGACAAATGGACCCCGTCATAAGTGCTCCCACCGTTATGACTACCGACAAAAGGGCCCTTGTCAATAAGATTTCCAAAGTCTCCCGGCGAAACGTCCACATTGCCAGTGGGACCCCTTCATCAATGCTTTTTTGTTAGCTTAGCAAACACTTAAATAACTCAATGTATTCATCTCTTGTTCGTCAGGCCTTATTTTCATTTTATTTTTATCTAGTATAAGAAATAGCATGTTTTAAATTTAAGGGTCATCTAGCTATGACTTTCATCTATTGAGTCTGTTGTGGGCTGCTCCAACTCCATGTGTGGGGAGAGAGGTCCATGTTGTACATTTACCTGCAGTATGCTTGTAGGTTATCAAATCAAAATGCCGTTATCCTGTCAGCAGCATGTATATCATACATTTAATCGTCAGTGTCAGTGCTCAATTTTAAGCAACAGATTTTCACTGTTGTAAATTTAACATTATCAAAATTTTAACATTGGTTGAATTTAGCTGTTAAGAGCTCTATTTGTTTGTGAATTGATGTTGGTTCATGAAAAAAATTTTCATTCAGGCATTTAAAAGAGGTTATAGTGGTAGTTGAGGTAGGAACTGCATGTGGTTGGTGGGTTGGACAAATTGGTTACGTTTATGCCAATAGTGGTCATAAGATTCATTTGTCTGGAGCCGATATGTCGGGAGCCCATTTGTCGAAAGTCCATTTGTCGGGAGCCTATATGTCGCGAGTCAACATGACGGGAGCCGATTTGATGTGATCCAAAATGTTGTGGTCCTTTTGACGGGGCTATTTTGACTGCGTAGTTTTGTCGGGGCCGTATTGACGGTGTACCGAAAAGATTATGTTTAACGCCAGTGCACTCTGAGTCCATTAGGCGGACTTGGGAACATCTAAATAAAGACTTACAGGTCAATGAGTTGAAAAAGAATTAGTTTTCAACTGGATTTCTTGACTAACATATAAATCAGTTAATAACTAAAAACAAAAGTAATAGTCATATAATGTATAATCTGTTAAGTATAAATTTATTTGAAGTCTTTTTTATGGTAACTAAATTAAGGAGATTATAAAATGTAATTTCTTTGTAAAAGGAGTTTTGAAAACAAGTAAAGGTTTAAAATATTATGCTGACAGACAGTAGTAATTGACTTCCTTTAGAAATGCTAATTTACAATTAAAAGGTGATAGTGGTGATTAAAAAAATATTCTTCAAAGTCAAGACAGTGTTCTCTTTGATTTTTCCAATGACTTAATTTACACGGTTTGTGAGGAGCCCATGTACATCTTTAAGAAGCGCTTCTACTCTCTGACGCTGGAAAAAAAAAAAAAAAAACTATTTCAATTTCATGCTTTCTTTGTGCTTGCAGTTGAGTTGGTAATATAAAAGCTGTAGGTAAAAATACAAATTTGAAGCAAAAATTCACTCCACATACATGTGTTATATGATTTTTAAAAGGGAAATGAATTTCAACCAAAAACTTTACATTCTTACACTAAATTTATCTAGTAAATCTCCTTTCTCTTTTATCTCTGCATGTGGGGGTACCAAGGCTTGCAGTCGTACAGCTTTTAGGGCTACAGGTTGACAAGCAATCAGATGGGAGATTTCTTGGGCCTGAAAAAATAAAATACATTTCTTTCATTGTCTTTGCTTTTTATAATCTTTTTTTTAATCATTGTATCACTGCGTATCTCCCTAAAAAAACCATAAGAGCAGTGGTTCTTAACGTGGGTTTGATTGAGCCCCACTGGTTTGGGGAATCAATCTCATGGATTTGGTGGGTGTCTTGACCTCCATCAAATCCATGAGATTGATTCGTATGATTCGTGATAGGATTTTGTCAGTGCAGACGATAAAACCATTAGGAGGTCGGTTAAGCTCATGGTTGCTGAACCGTAAATGTCCCGAGTTCGAACACCCAGGTAGATGAGGCTCGATAGCTGGGGACAGCCACTCATCTAGGAGAGACAATTCAAAAATCAAACAATAAAGCTCATGGTTGCTAAAAATCAAACAACTGCTGCCTTGTAGTTTGTTCTTGGTTGGACAAAGACTATGGAAGCAAAAAAAAGAAAAGAAAAGCAGGCTGAAATCGGAGGCAACAGCCTATATGACGTACAACAAACTGACACGTATTACTTAAATGTGTTGAAGGGAATCTCTTCCACCACTAAAATTAAGAACGAAGAAAAAGATAGAACTATAAAGAAAAATTTGGTGAATATGCATATAAAACTGGTGAGGTTTGGTATATCCAAAAAGTTAAAACCACTAACATTGAGCTTCCTTATTTTTGATAGGAAGTAAATAATCTCTAAACTTGTACAGTGGCTCTAGATGTCATTTCATCATATTTATTTTATTGATTTTTACTTTTTCGTATATTCGAAGTATAGAAAAAAGTCTTGTAATCGTGCTTAAAAAAAATCGAGATTTTTGCAAATCTCACCGTTTTCCACCTCCCTGAGTCGGGAGAAAAAAAAAGTTTTGCAATCTAGCCCGTATGTTTGTGTGTGTGTGTGTGTGTGTGTAAACACGATAACTTGAGTACCGTTACAGCTAGGTTAATTAAATTTCACATATAAGTAGTATATCAAATGTGTACTTCTTTATCAACTTTTCAGCGATTTCCAATAACCGGAAGTGGAACTTTTTCTACTTTCAATTTTTCAAAAGACTATAATAACTTGAGTACTATTTCAGATAGATAAATGAAATTTCACATGTAAGTAAAAATCTAATTCTCTGCCTTCTGTCAATTTCTGAGTATTTTCCGTTGACCGGAAGTAGTAATTTTCGCTATTTCTAATTTCTCAAAAAAAAAAAAAAAAAAAACTGCATTTAAATGTACAAAGTACTAATAATATTCCGCACTATTATACACATTTTGTTTTGCGCTAACTTGGTGTGTAATTCTTTTTCTACGAGATTCTATTCTATTTATTAAAGTTTATGTAATTAGAAATGGATTAAAAATCATGTCTATATCCCGAGTTGCTACCCCCTGTTTTATATAAGAATATTCGAGAAAGTTTAGGGGAGATCTCTCCCGGTTTATTATTCTAGAAACTAGACTCATTCATTCAAGTTTAATCTTTCAACATAATGAAATACAGGATGATTCAATATTTCAATAATTTTTGTTCAATGTTTTTATAAAAATATTTACCAGAATTTAAGGCTTAATGAAAAGTATTTAATTCATAATTTGTCATATTTTTCTAATTTGTGTAACTTACTTTGGTTGGTCTAGTTCCCTTATATAATAACTTTTTAAATGATCTATAATGATCGCTTGCAGCCCACAAAATACGCCAATTCCAAAAGTAAAAACAAATATTTACCCTGTTAGCTTGATAGCGCAATCTCATGACCCGTAATCTATTTCTTGCTTCTGCTGCTCTAATGAACAGAGTAAAACAAAGTTCTAAGCTCACATAAAATAAAGGGGAGCTCGAAACAATATTTTGTTATATCTGTATGTATGTATGTATGTATGTATGTATGTATGTATGTATGTATGTATGTATGTATGTATGTATGTATGTATATATATATATATAGCAAAGATATATATATATATATATATATATATATATACATATATATATATACATATATATATATACATATACATATATATATATATATATATATATATATATATATATATATATATATATATATATATATATATATATATATATATAAAGATAGATGGATAACTTAATCATAGCTTAATGCAACAAATGCCTGTCAGCCACTTGCCCGAAATGAAATAATATAGTAAATTACATTATTACCTCATTGCTTAACTTAAACACTTTATCTAAATAAGGTGCATTAAAACTAAGTGTGCCGGCAGATAAAGCTAAGTTAAGAGAAAATTAAATAAAAGTAACTAAAAAATTGAACAAAAACATAATTTAGTTCAAACTAGAGCACGTGTTGCTTCAAACTTGGAAAGAAATTCAAGGAAACGCTTTATGATAACATTCAGTTGTTACCAATGGGGTATTTAAAGCCGCTTGACCTAATTTTCAATCCCCACCTATCACAAGCATATTGCATTTGAAAACCCCAGACTTTCAGTATACGTTAATCACTCCCAGCATGGGTGAGATCGAACACTCCTCGGCAAGCAACCAGGTGTGAGGGTTGTTTCTATGTGCTATTGGGAGCCACAGGTTACAAGACAGCATGGGATCATGGTGCAACCTCTGCTTCAAGTTTAGTTATTGAATGTAGCAGCCCAATGTTTCCTTTGTGTATAAAACTGTTTAAAACATATGTAGATGCCATAGTGCTCTTAGGTCACCTAACCGATGCGGTACTGGCTGATGCACCTAGTGCAGCCCTTAGGGAACTCGGGATTAGAAATCCCCTTTAATTGGATAAAAGGTGTAGTAATGCATAATGACTAACTGCCCACAGCAGACCCACATGCTTTTATTTTTAAAACATATAAAGTTCAGCAAGTTTAGTTACATTCAATTAAGTTAAAGGATAAAGAGTAGTAATAAGTGTAGTACAGCTAAGGTAAGTAAATGCAAGTATCAGAAATAGTTTAAAATTAACAGCATAGCGAGTATGTGAATGAAATAAAGCTCCTCTGAATATCTCATCTACACTGGGGTGGCATTTTAGTACTGGGAAGGATTAATGGCATTGCTATAAATTTCATGTATAAATATATATGCATATTATATACATTATCATAGACACAGAGGTATAGCGAGGGGGGGGGGGGCGGGGGGCGGTGCGGACCGCACCGTTGACACCATTTAGGGGGTGACACCAAGGCAAAAAATAGCAAAACATATAGAGAAAAATGATAATTCCACTTAATTAAGTGGTTAATTCGAGTGTTAAATAGTCTTTTAAGAGGTGCAAATCAAAAGTTTGGGGGAGGGGGGTGCAAATCAAAAATTGAAAGTTTGGGAAGGGTCGCTATGCCTCGGGGGGGGGGGGGGGGGGGTGACACCATTAAGTGCCGCACTGGGTGACACCCGACCTCGCTACGCCACTGCATAGACATAAACATATATGCACACAAATATATAAATGTGCTTTATATAGATTCTGTAGTACCTAAACATACACGATTTTTTTTTTATAGGAGCTGTCAAGCAAGCTAAAATTTGCCATGAAATACAAGATAAGAGTAACTGCATTAGCGGGTTTTATAGTTAGAGGAAAAATCACCCTGACAAAGTTGCAACTGATTGTGCATCAGAGCTATTTAATGACTCTTACCAAACACATTTCCAAAACATTTTGAAATAGAAAAAAAAAACCTCATTGAACGGGTTTATTTTAACCACTTGTATGGAAAAATGGGCGGAGTGAGGAAAGTATGGCGAAAAAAAGCTGAGATGAACAAAGAGAAAAGCAGTGATGAAAATTATGCGAAAGTAACGAAATATTATATAGTAATATTTAGGTTCAATTATTTCTGGTGAAGTTTCATTTCCGTTAAGTTTAGAGATACAGTTTAGCATTAGGAGTGTAACAAGTAAGTGATTTAAAGAGATTGAAAGAGCTTAGCTTGAACAATGAGTAAGTTTAAACGATGTGAAGCTCCTCCCCTTATCTCTTTCACCCTACACCTCCACCAGCATCTTCCGCAAGCTAAAAGCTAATTTTCAAGGTAGATACACGTTTCAAAACTAGTTTATTTCCTTGCATTATCATATATTATGTTATTAAAAAATATCTGTCAAATATAAATACACTTTTCTTATAAAAAACACCAAAAAATAAATAAATGGGGCAACATTTTCGGAATGGAAAGGATTAATAGCATTTCAATTAATTTCAATGAAGAAAACTGCTTCAACATAATATAATATGAGCTATTTGAGGTACGAGTAATGTTACAGAATGATGCAATTTGTTTCTCGAGGGGACACTGTACTGTATTAAGAAAAATTAGATTTATTTTGCAGCAATCGAAAATTGAATTTTTCATTTTTTTACGTTTTTTTTTCTCCATTTAAAAAAAAAATGCCTATTGTCCGAAAGGCTTTGCTGCTTATATACATGCATATATATATATATATATATATATATATATATATATACACACACACACACAAAGTGTTGGCATTAAATATATTAAAAATTAATCATGACTTACTTTAGTTGTCCAATAAGTTTAGCATGCTTTTCTTTTTCTTCTGCTTCTTTTTCATTCAATGGTATATTTTTACTGTGGAAAAAAAAAATCCGGTCTGCTCTTTCAACTAGGCTGACATGTAGATTTGTAAATTTCCAATGTTATTTCACCCCAATCCACTTCGGTGGACTTTGTATTTCATGTTACCAACCCCCACCCCCTGCTAACTTTTTGTCGAATGGCTTCCATCTATATATAAAATTCTCTTCTGGGAGACGCTAGAAAACAAGCTGTAAGCGCGCTCCCTACCACCCCCACCCCTACATGATCTGGTGAGCTGTTGTTCACGCTAAATGTTTACAAGCAGAGCCGGGTTTAGTGACGACTATTAGGGGCAGATAATTTAGTTTGAAACGATTTTAAACGTATGGGGGGAGGGGGGTTATCGTACTTAACGAGCTACTTATAGTGTTTTAAAGAAATATTTTCAGTGGCAGCGTTGGTATTGTCGAATTCACAAATTATGAATTACTGAAAAGTAGAAAAAACAACAACTAAATAGCGGCGTATGATATGCCGCGGGTCGGCTCGTTTATATTAATCCACCCAGTGGCACAGGATCGTCTCATGGGTTGGGGGGGGGGGGGGTGGGGGGGTGGGTTTCACATTTTTTCCATCATTATATATAAATATATATATATATATATATATATATATATATATATATATATATATATATATATATATATATATATATATATAGCTGTATGTCATTGTAAAATAAATTGAAAGAAGTACTGTGATTAAATAAGAAAACATACAATGTAGGCCGACAAAAAATAATTATCACTCTAACCGCGAACAAACAAAAAATGTACACACAATACAACCAAAAACAATGAACGCAACACAATATGTTTTGTAATCGTTTAAAAAAACAATTTGACATATTGATTCCTAGAATATTAATTAAGACAAGCGAACTAGGGGAAATAATCACTTTCTTAATATAAATATGTATATCGTAGTGAATTTGTTAAGAATGGGTCAATTGTGCTTAGTAGTGCATAAGGAAATTTCGTATCTTATCAATTTTTGTTGATATAGCATGAAGATTAAATGAACTATTAGACCAAGCTAGATCTTTAATTAGAATATCTTAGTGTTAGTTAGGACCAAGTCAATTTTCTTTTTTGAAAATCTAATTTAATTATGTGTATTTGATGATATTTTTACGTTATTTGCATGTTTGAAGTATTATAGTGAAAAACCTTATTGATATTGTTTTTAATTTGTATCATTGTGAAGGGACAGTAGCGTACGCAGGGGGGGAGCAGGGGGAGCGGCCGCTCCCCCTCTGGCCATTTTCAGCAAAGTGGCGCCTTTTTGGAAACTTTTTAAACTCAAAGTTTTAAACAATGATATTTGTTAAAAATATTTTTGGTCGGCACATCTATGTAAATCACAAGATTTCTTTTCATGCAGCAATTAAGCATTATTGTACTAGTCTAGTAGTGTCTACGTTTACAACACGTATTAACAGCTGCATCAGTTTGCCATTCTAAAAATAACCATTACGATGCATTGCAATGTTTAAAAAACCTCTACGGGTAGTACCACTTGGCAAGAGGGGTGTTAAGTTTAAGGCAACTGTATAATGTATTTGCTTACGAATAATTGAATTAGAAAATGTTATACATAAAACTTCACACATAATTACTTTATATATACAGTTTGAATCGTGTGATTAATTTAAAAACAAGTTAATTAAAGGATATTTTTGAAAACTTTCTTCGGCAATATTGTTCTAAATTATGGCAGAAATCGATTGGTACATGTTTCAAGTCGCTAAGTGGTCTGGTTGCCGAGATATGGGCCAAAAACTGCTTTTTTTTCGAGGTTTTTTTTGGATTTTTCGGGAAATCCATGAAAGAAACCCGGAATTTTTATGGCCTATGTTCATCCTCGTAACTTGCTTAACATAATTGCTTTTGGAACTAGTCATCGATATTGCTTCGTTGAGGAGAAGATACGACTTAAAGCTGCGGACACACATCCATCCATCCATCCATTCATTCATACATTCATACATCCAGAAATGACGGGTTAATAAACGCAATTCTCCAGAATGGAAATTGCGCTAAAAAATTACAATACAGAAATAAATACAACTGATGTGGCACCTCTATTTAAATTTATTGATGAGCAAACTGCGTAGTGGTGGGGAAATTTTGACAAGGTCAACAACGTCAACACTATGAAGTAGTAGTATTCTTACAGTTTGGGCGATAGTGATTACGATTACAAATTATATGAAACAGTTACAACCTCCCTCCCCCATGGACCCCTCTGTAAAAAAAAATATTGTCATAATACCACTGCTACTTATTTAAATCTATTTGTGTAATATATATTTGTGTAATATATATTTGTGTAATATATATGTATGTTTAGAACAGTCATCTAAAAACTGACTCTATGTTCACTCTAAGTTGGTTATCTCCCCCCCCCCCCCCCCCCACACACACACCTCACCACCACAATTGTGTAGAGCGACATTAATGTCACACCTAGGTATACACTGGGTTGGATAATTGACCTAAAGTGACCGGACAGTGGCGAATGAAGTTGAACCCCCCCCCCAACCCACCCCGAACTGATCTGTTAAGTACATGTAGAAAAACGCGTAGTGATGTACCAAAGTACCATGCCGCCAAAAAAATTAGCTTTTTAAACGTAAAACTCTGTGAATATTGTTTTTGCAATTACCAGTAAACAGGTGTGTGATCAATTCAGTATTTCTAACCCATAGCTATCACTATGTTAAAAAATGATCTTTAAAGAACACAAAGAAGCAGTAGTTAATTAAAATAATATGATCTGAACTAAAAGACGGATATTTAGTTAAATGTAGGCTTTTATTCCGAATGTTTTCTATTATATCGAAAAGCGTGTTTTTATACCAACTCTGATTTAAAAAAAACTTTCATTATGCTGTATTACTTTAGCATTTATGATGACGATATATTAAATTATGATTAAAGACAAAAACATTTTGTAAACACGAATAGTGTTAAACAATGTAATTATATTCTAAAGTAATTATTTATTTGTTTTGACATTTATAATTAAATGTGTAGATATATACATATTTATATTAAGAGAGTGATTATTTCCCCTATTTCACTTGTCTTAAATAATTTCCCAGGAATTATTATGTAAGAAATTTGTTTACAAGAATTACAAAACAGATTGTGTTACGTTCATTGTTTTTGGTTGTAGTGGGTGTAGATTTTTGTTGTTGTTTTTGTTCTAAATTGATACAATTTTTGTTTTGTCGGCCTACTTTGTGTTTTTTTTTCTTTTTACTTCAGTTGCTACTTATAATTTATTTTACATCATAGCGAAGTAATGACATACAACTAGTAATTATATATATATATATATATATATATATATATATATATATATATATATATATATATATATATATATATATATATATATATATATAATACACGTATATATATATAATACACGTATATAGATCGCGTTAAAAAATCGGCGCCTTTTTTTGCTCTTTTTGCTCCCCCTACAACGAAAACCTGGATACGCCTCTGTGAAGGGAGCTGGGGAATTTTAGGAGATTGTGTTAAGTTTTTATATAGAATTATTAAGGTAGGTTAGCACAAAACCAAGGGAAATTTTCACAGGTAAGCGTTAGGATTCGTACCGAGAGCAGGGTGTAATCCGAGACGCTCGCGGGTGGGGTATATAAACCGGCGGGCTAGCCTTAGGGGGGATGGAGAAACGACGTCTCTAGCCACTAATTTATTAGTCTTGTTAGATGCGCGCTACACAGACAATTCCCGGTCAAGGGGTCGTCCATAAATGGCGTCAAAAAATTTAATTGTAAATGTCTAAACAGATCAATAATTACTTTCGTATGTAATACTTTCGTATGTAATATAATAGCGTAACACTATTCGTATTCACAAAAATATTATTATGTTGTCTACAATCAGAATTGGGTGACGGAGTGGTCTAGCGGTAGAGAGCTGGACTGCTAACCCGTAAGTCACGAGTTCTGTTCAAGTCAGTAGACCGTCCCTGATGGGTACCTAACTCACGTTAGGGAAAGTAAAGGCGGCTGGGCATAGTGCTGACCAGTGGCGGAACTAGAAAAAAAGGGCCACCCCGCAAAGAATTTTTTTGGGCCCCATATATATGTATATATATGTATATATATATATATATATATATATATATATATATATATATATATATATATATATATATATATATATATATATATATATATATATATATATATATATATATATATATATATACGAAAATACCAACACAGAATACTCATTTCGGGCTTGTTCGAAATTTTAAAAAAAGATCACTAAAATACTTAGTAATACTTAATAAGTAATACAAGTTACAACAGGTCATTTGTGTGATTGCTATTAGTCTGTTTTGAAAATATCTGTTATAACATATCTACTTAGATGCCGTCATGATTAGGTCGGTCGAAATAATATAAAGCATGAAAGCTGTGTATGTGTAATGGTTTCTCGCCTTATGTTTATTTTTATGTTTTTTCCTTATAATATTATTAGTTTTAAATGCGTTTCCTTTTTATGCTTTGTTATTCTTTATTATGTATTTTTTTAAAAAATAATAATTAAGAGAAGTAATTGCTTTTTAATTTGTTTAGTGCAAATTTATTAAAAGGCGCTTAAGAGCACACATATTTGACTAGTTAAAAAAGGGAAATAAGTCATGGAAGTGGTTTGAACAATTGCGTATCTTTCACGCGATGGGTTTATTTTCAAAAGAATTTTGCCGACAACAGCGTGTGTTTGATTGTAGGAAAAAGAGGACTTGAGATGGTGTCTATAGAATAAAGAAAATCCAACCGCAGCTGCAGTATTCTTTTTACAAAACAACCATGAAGTAAAAAATGAAAGAAGATTATTTTTTTTTAACTGTAAAAAAATTGACTATGGTCGGCTGCGGGCCCCTAAACGTCCCGGGCCCCCCCGCAATGCGGGGTCTGGCGGCACTGTAGTTCCGCCCCTGGTGCTGACCATAGTATCGCTTCATATGCCGAGGTCACAGAAACTTCACTTGCTATATAGACCGTCAGGTTTGAAAAGGAACTTTACTTTACTTACAATGAGAATTAAATATATTGTCATCATAAATGCTCAAATATTACAGGATAATGAAAGTTTTTGAAATCAAAGTTAATATAAAATCAAGCTTTTCAATAATTTAGAAAAACTAAATCTAATAATTGGAACATTCTGAATAATAGCTAAAATATAGGTCATACAGATCATTCATTTTTTATTAGCTACTGTTTTTTGTGTTCTTAAAAGATCATTTTTAAACATAATAATAAGGTATGGGTTAGATCACTGTATTGATCACACACCTCTACTGGTAATTGTAAAAACAATATTTTCATAGTTTTAACTGTTTCATAACGTCAGTTTTTTAGATGACCGTTCTAAACATACATATACAATTATACATGCATACTGATTCAGGACTAGATTTAAATAAGTAACAGTGGTATTATGACAGTAAACATTTTTTTTACAGAGGGGTCCATGGGGGAGGTTGTAACCCCCCTACCTTCGTCACTGAATCCACATAGAAAAAGCATTTCGGGGCCTAATTATGTTACTAATTCAATTAGTTACTAATTCAATTAATTACTAGAAATTACTGCTTTTGTATTAACTTATTACATTTGGTGTCACCCCCCACAGGTTGATGGATATATCAGTTATTACAATTCTCAATAAAAACTTTTTTCCTCAGGCAAATATTATAACGTTTATTTGGTGTCACCCCCGCCCCATGATAGCTTTAAATTGTGCACACATTTAATACAGCTTTAATATTAAATGTGTGTAATATTTAAAGCTATCAGGGGGGGGGGGCTTGACAGCTTTAAATTGTTCACATTCAATACTAACGATGTTTATATATAATCAATTATTAATACAGCTGGATGTGGCATTGTTTTCTCTATCGTTAGCAGGTTTACGCCATGGTGTCATCCCCTCAAACTCACCCCTACCCTCTTTTGTCGGGATTTGTCAACTTTGCTCTTAAAAGACTATTTAATACTAATCATCTCATTTAACTGGAATGATCTTTTATATATATATATATATATATATATATATATATATATATATATATATATATATATATATATATATATATATATATATATATATATATATATTGCTAGTTTTTGCCTTGGTGTCACCCCTCTAAATGGTGTCACTCTGTGCAGTCTTTGACACTTATTATAAGTAGAATAATACTGCGTCTTCACACAGAAAATAATTTTAAAACTTCTATTTTCCTGAAAAAAATATAAACGGTTGATATCTTCATTCCATTTTGGTTCACACATGAAAAATTTCATATATTTTTACGGATGTCATAAATTGATGACCCTTTATTTAAAAAACGATGCCTGTAGTAGTCTACTTAACTTTTTCAGCCAAAAAAATTTAAAATTTATCATTTTCTTTTCTGTAGTTCAACAATTCAAAAATGTAGATAATTAAATATTCAACGTCTTTCATATTCAAGCAAACATGAAAGACGTTGAATATTTAATTATATATAAGCAGTATCAACCTTTTAATCTTAAAACATTTGTTTTAGGGTTTCTGCCTCTTATTTTAAAATAGCTAAGGGACTAAACACACCACTCACTGTAAAACTTGCTTTCTCTATATTTTTAAACTTGGTTTTAATTAATTTAACATTTAAAAGAGTAACACTACATACGTATTAAGCTTTTGTTTTCTTTCAAGAAGCCTTTTTTTAGAAATGGCTTGAGCATCCATGACTTCTTTGGGAGGTTCTTGGTACTAAAATTGTTATTATTTATTTATATCAGTATGCATACATTTAATAGAGATGAATTTGTTTTGGACATAGACTACCACATCAGCTGACCTGTGTTTGTTGCTCACCTTAACAAAACAAATTATATTACTAGATCGACATCAAGTGACATGTGGTACCTAAGCACTTTACACATTATTCAATCTACATGTCTCAACACAACTTCATAAAAACAGATAGCTTAAATTAGGTAAGAGCTTGAATAATTTAACTGTTCCTAAAAATTAATTTGTATAAATTGAACTATTATAATAATCGCTACTTACAGCCATGTAACGACTCTTTAACTGAGGTGGCAATTTTTGCAGCTCTTCTAATGGAAGCTGTTTACGCAGAGGTTGTCGCTTATTCTTAAAGTCAGTAAAAATTTAATACAAATCAGCAATAATTTTAAGTGAATTGTGAACAACAAAAAAAAAAACCTGTAAAAATCAACAATACAAACAAGGTGGTATTATTTAAAACTGAATTATTGTATATTCTATTAAAAAACTTAAAACAGCTTAAAATTTAAAAGTTACTAGTTCAATTAATTACAAAATTATCACTGCTTTTGTAGGAATTTATTACATCTAGATTCTAGATAAACCATCTATAATATCACGCTAGTGGTAGTGTGTCAGTCAGTTATTGCTACAGATTTTGGAAGTCTCTCTCTCTCTGGGTGCAGACGCCCGGGTAAACGTGTTGTAAGGCGGCGGTTTAGATGACGACGTGGGTCTGGGGGAGGAGAGATGTCTGGGCGAACGTTTGTGACAGCATTAGGCAATTTTTTTTACCTTAGTTTCATTTTCATGAATATCCATATTTGCACCAAAGTGCTACCGACACCTGCGCGCACCGCGGTGCGCTGAAGGAATATCCGCCCCAATGCGGGGACCCCCATCCGCGCGAAGCGCGGTAAACTCTGAGGTAATATCCATATCCACACCGTAGCGGGGCACGGGTATAAGCGTTTGTGATTAGATTTTGTTCTGTTCCCAAGCTATTCAATAACAGTTTAGAAGCCACTCCTAAATATCCCCTATGTATACTTTTATCTTTCGGTTTGCTTTGCTTTGCGTTTTCTCTTGTGTTTGTGTTTTCTTTTGTGTTTGTGTTTAGTTATGTTCTGTTCCATAGTTGTTACATTTAAAAAGATTCCTTGTGGCGGAGCACGGGTATGCAGCTAGTACAGGGGTCGGCAACCTGCGGCTCGCGAGCCGCATGAGGCTCTTTTGATGTCAAGATGCGGCTCTTCAGTTCAGTGCACAAATAGAAATAACGAGCCAACCCGCGGCATATCATATGCCGCTATTTAGTTGCTTTATTTTCTACTTTTCAGTAATTCATAATTTGTGAATTCGACAGTACCAATGCTGCCACTGAAAATATTTGCTTTAAAACACTATCAGCAGGTCGTTAAGAACGATACTACCCCCAACCCCTACCCCCCCAACCCCTACCCTACACCCCCCCCCAGTGTTTCTTCCAGATATTTTTCTCCGGGGGGCGGTTGAAATTTTCGGGGGGGGGGGGGGCGGTAGACTTTCTTCGGGGGGGCGGACACTGTTAAAAGTATATTTTCTATATAAATTTCATTTCGTTCGGGGGGGGGGGGGGGGGGGGCGGTAAAAAAATTTCGGGGGGGGACGACCAAAGTCGCCGAAGAGATGCCTGAAAGAAACTCTGCCCCCCCCCCCCGTGAAAGCAGCCTCATCTTCGTTACCTCCCCTAAGTTTAAAATCGTTTCAAACTAAATTATCTGCCCCTAATAGCCGTAACTAAACCGGCTCAACGAATGTAAACATTTAGCGTGAACCACAGCTCACCAGACCATGTAGGGGTGGGGTGGTAGGGAGCGCGCTTACAGCTTGTTTTCTAGCGTCTCCAAGAAGAGAATTATATATATATATATATATATATATATATATATATATATATATATATATATATATAATTTTATTTTCAAAACTCATAAAATATTGTTGTGCAACACTACTTAATGAACGATATGATAATAAATATAAGCAATAAACACTCGCTCTTCTATTAGAGTATTTAGTTACTCCCCATTTCAATGTACTTCCTATTAACTTGTCCATCCCGAATTGAAACATTCAACTTCATGGTGGATATCACAAATAAACTAAATGAGCTAAATGTAAAACTGCAAGGAAAGGAAAACCTAGGCTATGCCTTGCTGAAAGAAGTGGATTGTTTCGAGAAAAAAAAATCTTTTTTTTTGGTTGAAAACACTGAGAGCGATAAATTATTTAATTTCAATAAATATGAACAAAATATTATGATGAAACAAATGCTACCATTAACATAAATCAATTCAGCATTGCTATAAACAGAATGAAGAAAGGATTCGCTGAGAGATTTGAGCATTTCAAAACAAGTTCTTTGACGTTCATAGTTAATTCTCTCAACACAAAAACAAATGCGAGCAACATTGAGCCATTTAGAATTGGTGCTGGCTCGCTTTAAATGCAATTGCTGGATTTGAAAACCAAACATTTGTGGAGTGGTAAGTTCACGGAAATCAAGACTAATTAGAAGAGTAGGAGGTCCAGAGAAACATGCACGTTTTGCTGCACAAGTGAACAGCTCTACAAGAAATGTCGCGAGTTGAGGCACTATTATGTGACGCATGGAATAGTCTTCCAGGATGCTAAAGTGAGGTGAAGAAGTTGGCATTTGGAGTGCAGACGGTCTTCGGGTCAACATATTCGTGCGATGAAGCATTTTCTTGCATGAATATAATAAAAAGTAAGGAAGTCAATCAGTGTTTCTTCCAGGCATTTCTTCGAGGAGTCTACCGCACCCCCCCCCCTACCTGAACAAAAACAAGTTTATTTAGAAATATATACTTTTAACAGTGTCCGCCAGCCCCCTCCCCCCGAAATTTTCAAGTGCCCCCCTCCCCCCGGAGCAAAAAGTCTGGAAGAAACACCGCAGCCAACTAACAAATAAAACTCTGGAGGCGTGCTTGAAACTGAAAACAAGTTATGAGCCAGGTTTAAACAAACTTTCAAAAGGCTTGCAAGACAAAACTATTGTAAATATTATAAAAAAAATATAGTTATGTAATTTGATTACTGATTTTATTATTCTAGAAGAGCTAGTTAAAATACGTTAATATGTTTTGTGGGAAACATGTGTATGGTTTTATATGAATAAATATTATTTCATTTTTAAAGCTAATTATTTTCAATGTGTATATATATTACGGTCAAAGCCCGAAGTCGGTCAATGCGCGCATTGGCCAATATTGCCTCTCATTAACCGGTCAAAGTCCGAAACTTAACTTGATTTCGGCGTTTGGCCGATCAGTCCACGGACTGGCCATGGTGGACCGGCCAAAGTCCTAATTAGAAGATCATGAGCCGATTTAGGGTTTTTTCATACCGTAAAGTAAGTAAAGTTTCCCTTTCAAACCTGACGGTCTATGGGGCAAGTGAAGTAGAGTTCACTTGTTTCTGTGACCTCGGCATATGAAGAGATAGTGTGGTCAGCACTATGCTCAGCCGCCTTTACTTTCCCTAACGTGAGTTAGGTACCCATCAGAGTTGGGTGGACTCAGGGACGGTCTACTGACTTAAACCCGGATTCGAACTCGAGACTTACGGGTTAGCAGTCCAGCTCTCTACCGCTAGACCATACCGTAAGGATCACGAAATTTTGATTATTAATTAAAGTAAATGACAGAAACATTCAAAGTATTTTACTGTACTATAGTCTCAATCAATATTATCACTTGTTACACCAAGTTGAACTTTTATGGCATTCAGAATTACATAGTAGCTTGTTATTTTTACACTTGCAGCGATATACAGATGCGATGGTTTAGAGATGCGAACATTACCTCCCACTTCAGCTTGTTTAAAATTTTTATCTGATTTTTTTTTAGCGTCTTGGCACCTTGAGTTTGCAAGCTAGTATGAGATGCTGACCTGTTGTCCATGATTTCTTGTTTAATGTGACATAATCTGCAAGTAATGTTCCCTCCGTAACCTTCGTCTGCTTCATATTCCATGGACAACGTTGGCACAGGATCTACAAGAATGGGCTGCACTACAATATTTTTCACAAACTACACATAATCTATTGGCCATATTATTGTCACGCAACTGGTCTGGACGTTCCGCTACGGCAGTATATGTGTTAGCTGAGGATGTCGTTGCATTTATGACAACCTCCATTTCTTGTTCAATGTTCTTCCTCAGTAACTAAATTATCGAGAGCCACTCTTGTTAGATTTGAAGTGCTAAGTCCCACTTTTATTTTGCATCCAAACATTGATTCGTATGGTGATTTGTGGTTTACTTTATGAAAAGAAAGGTTTTTCATAAATTGAATGAATTTCAGACTCTCGGCCCAATGAGCTGATTCATTTGTCTGCATCCATGTCACCATCATGTTTTGAACATCTTGGTTGGCACGTTCTACTGAACCTTGGCTTTGGCTATGCTTTGGATTTCCGTGAACTAGTTTAAGTTCAGGCCACATGTTATTTAGTTCAGAAATAACTTTATTCACAAATTCTCTTCCATTAGGATTTGGATTATTTATTTTGGCAGCCATCTGGTATGTCCGTCACTTGGTCTGACGGCCCTTTTGGTCCGTGTCGCATTGCTTAAAGAATGCTATACAAAGAACAGCCAATCAATACGTTACTCACAATGAAACCTCACCCAGAATAATGACAACGCGATCACAACTTAGTCTAGATAGAACATCCCGGCCAGTGCGCGCATTAGCTGGCCAATGTATGAAATACTTCGTCAATTTTAAACTCTTCGGACTTTGGCCATCACGCCCCGGCCAGTGCGGACATTGTAGGAAGTACTCTGTCAAGTTAAAGGTCTTCGGACTTTGGCCAGTACGTGCCGGCCAGTGCGCGCATTGGCCGGCCAATGTACGAAATACGCTCTCAGTACTAAGCTCTTCATGCTTTGGCCAAGAGGGCCAGCCAATCCTGGCTTTGGCCGCACTTCGGGCTTTGAGCGTAACATATATATATATATATATATATATATATATATATATATATATCCATATATATATATATATATATATATATATATATATATATATATATATATATATATATATATATATATATATGGGACGGAGTGGTCTAGCAGTAGAGAGCTGGATTGCTAACCCGTAAGTCTCAAGTTCGAATCCAGGTTCAAGTCAGTAGACCTTCCCTGAGTCCACCCAACTCTGATGGGTCCCTAACTCACGTTAGGGAAAGTAAAGGCGGCCGGGCATTGTGCTGACCACACTATCTCTTCATGTGCCGAGGTCACAGAAACAAGTGAACTCTACTTCACTTGCCCCATAGAGTGTCAGGTTTAAAAGGGAAACTTTACTTTTATATATATATACATTGAAAATAAATAGCTATATATATATATATATATATATATATATATATATATATATATATATATATATATTCCTAATTAAATATCATAATATTGAAATAAAAATGTTAGTGGCTCTTTAAAAACTGGGAAATTTTGTAAATTGTTACATTTGGCTCTTCCGTCTCAAAAGATTGCCGACCCCTGAACTAGTATCATATGTAACTAGATCTAGAATCTAGATCTAGCAACATTGATTTTAAAAAATGACTTAAGTTTATTTGTAGCAAGCTAGATCTATATGAAATAGTCTAGAATCTAGATCTACTAAAATACTAGATCTATCTATACACTAGATCTAATCTATATATTATATCTAGTATAGTATCTATATATATAATTCTCTTCTTGGAGACCATAGAAAACACCATGCTGTAAGCGCACTCCCTACCACCCCCACCCGTACATGGTCTGGTGAGCTGTGGTTCACGCTAACAGTTTACAATCGTAGAGCCAGGTTTAGTGACGGCTATAAAGAGCAGATAATGTCGTTTGAAACGATTTTAAACTTAGGGGAGGTAACTAAGAGGAGTTTGCTTTCACGAAAGGGGGGGGGGGGAGGGGTTGAGGAAATGAGGAGGTATCGTCCTTAACAAGCTACTGATAGTAGTGTTTTGAAGCAAATATTTTCAGTGGCAGCATTGTAATGTCGAATTCACAAATCATGAATTACTGAAAAGTAGAAAATAAAACAACTAAATAGCGGCGTATGATACGCCGCGGGTCGGCTCGTATACTATATAGCCTAGGCCTAATATAATTATAGAATCTAGATCTAGATCTATCTAAAAAAAACTACCTCAATGTCCTCAACCTGAGATACTCCCTATGTTGTATGTAAGCTTAATAAATGCTGCTTTTTTTAAAGATGGGTTCTAGACCTAGATCTAGTAAGTAACTAAGTGTTGGCCTAAAGTAGTAGACAAGTAAGATAGAGCTCTATTAGTACTAGAGCTCTATCTTACTTAGGTCTACTACTTAGGGCTTAGGCCTACTGTAATAGTCTAGAGCCTCTAGACTATTACAAAATAAAAAAATTAGTTTGAAGATTTCTAAAAGTCAAAAGTCTTTTAGAAAAGTAAACTAGTCTAGATCTATTTTCTAGATCTAGATCTAGCTCTAGATCTCTAGATGTAGAATTTGTAGAAATCTAGATCCAGATCTAGAGACTAGATCAGTCTATTCTATTATACTATAAAATCATAAAAGAAGACCTGTCCAGACTTACCTCTGACATGTTTATAACTTTTAGATACAGGGCTTAGCTCAAGATATAGAATCTAGAAGTGATTTAACTCTTTACCTTATCTCAGTGGTAAGTTGTAAAACTGAATGGTTTTGTCATTTTTATAAAACTTGTTACCATGGAGATTTGCACAACAAAATCTGGCCAGTTAAAACAATCCATGCTATTTTTTTTTTTGCCAAATTAAATAATAGACCTAGTAGGCCTAGCTAAATGCTGTCAGCTATACTATATGTGCTCACAATATTAATAACATTTACTTTTTGTCATGCCATGTGACATGTACCACTTAGGTGTAATAAGCTAGTAGCTCCTTTCCTTAGAGCATTTAACCACAGTCCATTGACATAGATCTAAATTACTTCAATTAACAAATAAATAACTTATAGACCTATTGTGTACTCAAATCTAAGAGTTAGCAGTTTGATAATAATAATATTCTAGGCCCCCTTATAGGCCTAATAATAATAAATGAATAATAATAATTTCCTGTGTAATAAGGTTGATTAGGCTCATTAGATATTAGTAATGTTATATCTGTACTAGCTGCATACCCGTGCTCTACCACGGTAAATCTTTTTAAATGTACCAACTTGGGAACATAACAAAACTAAACACAAACACTAAAGAAAAAACAAACACAAACACACTGCAAACACAAATGCAAACGCAATAAACCCCAAACGAAAATGCAAACAAATAACATAAACACAACTTAAATGTAAACATAAACACAAATTGCTCAGTCTAGCCCGGGGCGCTAAATCGCACCCGGCCGGGTCGCCGGCATAACCGTCTAATACCCCAACTTATCCATAAAATAAACAAAAGGCAATATTTAAAATAGCCATGTTTTACCTACCACGGTGCATTTTATCAATTCATTCTAATTATAATATTCTAACAATAATGTCCTCATAATTCGCTTTGACATTTTTAAAAATTAGTAACGTGTGAGTTGAATTTCTTTTTAAATTACCTCCCCTGGCAAAATTATAGAAGATTTTAATTATTTAATTAATTCGTTTTTTTTGTCCGCCCCCCCCCCCCCCCCCCCCCGCCCCCCCCCCATTCAGATAGTTTATTGTCAAACTTTTGCATTCTAGATAGAAAACAAATTTAAGATGCTAATTAGCAATTTAGAAACATTTTTTTAATAATTTGTAATACGAATTGATTAAAACACTGTATGCTGTCCGAGTCCAGCCAAGATTTCAGAAAAAAATCAATGTTTTAAGAAAAATTCAATTTTTGAGAGGGTTGTAGGCTAAGGAGTGACATCATTTTAGGGGGGGGGGGGGGTGTCTGGTTATTTGTGACCATGTGTAACAGAGGAAAGGGGTGTGACTTCTTTTATGGATGACCCCTTCCCATTTGAGAACTTTCTAAGTATAGCCAAAAAGAAACAGATGATATGGGCATGTCACACAAGTTAATGACCTAACAAAAATAATCATGCATGCCAGAAAGAAGACGACAGAGATGGTAAAGATGACATTGGATGTAGGAAATCAAGGAATGACTGAATAGTCCATTTTAGAATGAAAGCAGCATAATACCAACAAAGAAGACAGAAAATTATGAAAAAATCAACTGGTGCCCCAATAACCCCCAAGAGTTAAGGGACAATTGATTGATATATTGATTAACTGAAATTTTATTTTAGCCTGGTACTTTAAATAAGCCTACACAAAGACTGCAAAACTAAAAGTAAAACAATTGTCTAACTTAGTAACAATATATACTAACAGTGGTACCTCGAGATACAAGTTTAGTTCCAAATGTAAAATTGCTAATATGTAAAAAAATTAATCTCAAAGCAGTTCTTTCCATTGACAAATTATGATATGCCATTAATCTGCTCTAGCCTTCCTCCAAACTGAAACCCAAGTTATTTTTGTCAAGTATTTTTAATAAATAGCAAATGGTGTATAAACATAAAGAAGGAGAATGTAAAGAAATAAACTGGTTTTAAAAAGTGTGTATTCTTTGTAAATCAGCTAACTTGAGCTTACTTAAGGTGCTGGTGGAGATGTAGCAGGGAGGAGCTTTACTTCATTCACCTACTCTATACTTTGATAATGCTAAACTCTTTTGGTCACTTTAATTCACTTAGGCGTTAAACTTTTAATGCTACACTTTATCCCTAAACTTAATGTAACTTAGCTAAAAATCACTGAACATAGCTGAATTTAAATACTACTTCATAATATATTATAACTTCCATTTAATTTAGTGACTGCTTTTCTCTATACTGGTCTTTGCTTTCTTTGCCACGCTTTACTCATTTTCATATGAAAGCCGTATAAAACAAAGTATGTTACAGTTACAGCTTTTAGATAACTGTTTTAATAAATTGTAATAGTTTAGACAAGATTTTAGAAATATATCGATGTTTTAAAAAAATTCAACTGCAATTTTGAGGGGGGTTGTAGGTTGAGGTGTGACGTCATTTTAGAGGGGGGGTCTGGCTTTTTGTGACGACGTGTGACGGAGGGGAGGGGGAGGTAAAAATCGTCAAAAAAAGCGTGACGTCATTTATGAATGACCCCCAAAGCAAAATAAATCACTCTTCTCAACAGCTCATATCTTGAAAAGCTATTAGCTCTGCGCACTTCTTCTTCTTCTGCGTTATTAATTGAAATTATTCAGAGGATTTAAACAACAAGTCCAGCTTCATGGATGAACTGGACTGATCTCCAGCTCTGCGGGTGCCCCATATAGTTTTTCCCGGGTTGCATAGGGCCAGTGTTTGGATCGCGCCTGGTTGTACAAGGGGCAGTCCTGAGAACATGCTATGCATTCTCCAGAGCCATGCCACAAGGGCAAGTTTTGCCAGGACAAACTTTTTGTTTTTATACCTGTGCTGTTTCAGTCTCTTGTGGCCTGCACTGAGTCTGAAGATAATGTTTTGTTCTTTCAGTGTTAATTTGTAAAATCATGTTGTCTTTTGTGTAATTTGGATGCATGCCAGACCAAATTTGAGATTGTTTTATTTTAATGATTCTTTTGAATGTAGTGAGATATCTGGTTGTTTTTCATTGCCCTAATTTTTGCTAGCTGGTCTGTGATCTCATTTCCTTGTATGCCTGGGATACACTGAAGCACAATCATGCTGAAGGTATTGTTTAGTCTTTCAAAGGCTGTCCTGAGTTTGTAATTCTGGAGTTTTTAGAGACTGCAGGACAGATTTTGCATCCATAAGAAAGACTATCTGACTATTTGGGGATTCAGGGTAATTTGACAGGTTTGCTGCATGTTCTAGTTTCTTTTTCTGTTCTAAAATTTGGCACTCATATGTCAAGGTATTACTGAATCAACAAATATAGGTCTAGTTTAAGTAATTTTACTTAGCAGTTGAGTTTGTTAAGCTTTTTTCCTTAAACTTAAGTGAAAAATTGATTAATTCCCTTTAGTTCTTACTAGATCTATATTATATATATAATATTCAGTGGTGTCGCTAGGTCGGGTGTCACCCGGTGCGGCACCTCATGGTGTCAGCCCCCCCCCCCCCACCAAATAAACAAAAGTATAGGCTATATATATATATATATATATATATATATATATATATATATATATATATATATATATATATATATATATATATATATATATATATATATATATGCAATAGATGTCACTTGCCAAATTTGTGAATTTGTGAACACAAATTAATTCACCTACTAATTCAAGTGGAAAACAGCAACGTTTTCATTGTAAATTACTAGATAAGTTGTCACCCGGTCATTGATTGATTAGTTTACTTTTCCTCTGTAAATGTTGCAGTTCATGTCACTTTCACCCCAAGGTGATAGTTTTAAAGTCTTCAATTAATGGTAACGATGTTTATCTTTAGATGGTTATTAATACAGCTGGTTGTAGCATTGTTTTCTCTATAATTTGCAGGTTTACGTCATGGTGTCATTCCTCCCCCCTCCCCTTTCCCCTCTTTGTCGACATCGTCAATTAGTGCTTAAAAGACTTTTTAAAATCTAATTAATTGTATTTTAACTGACAAAAGGCATTTTTCTTCTATATTTAATGGACATTTTTGTCTTGATGTCACCAGGTGCAATCTGCACCCCCAGCCCGCGCTCATGACGCCTCTGATAATATTATATAGGCCTCATATATATTTTATTACTAATATAGTTTGTAGCTTTAGGTTTATAAAATTTATATTATAAAAACTGGGGTTAAAGATCACAGGAGCAAGTTGACAAAAGTAACATACTACACAAGTTTGATAATTTTATTTAAATTCTAAACTATTTTTAAAAAAGATTAGCAAGAGTACAAGTAAAATGATAAATGAAACTTCTCACACTTTTTATTCTTCAAATGCTATTAAGTAAGTCAATTCAAATTTTCAGTGAATTTTAAATTGTTGCAATTGTGGAGAGAAAACATGTTTTATGAAAATGTATTAATCAAGCTTAGATTATTTAAAAAGAAAAAAAAATCTCAACTTGGTTATTTCCCTTGTTGTCCAACATTTCTGGCATAAAAAAACAAAATGGTTTGACCTGCAACCTGTTACTTTCATTTATTCTCCAGGGAGTAGAGGGGGCAGACGATGGGATTTAAGTATATATTTTCTAATTAAATTATAATACCTTTCATTTTACCCAGGAGAGATGCCCGAAAAAAATTAAATTGTCTTAGAATTAGACCTATATCATATACAGAAAATTTCAAGCTCAGTTGCTGAGTGACTTAAATAAAAATTTGCATTCTCTCTAGTTTTTAGATAATTTATTGTTGAATTGTAAGAAGAATAGCTACATCATTTTCCTTTAAAATAATCAAGTAGTGTGTCCATAATCTATATATCTACATGTTTATTTTCCTTTGATTACTCTTTCTATTATTTATCAAAGCTTATAGGCCTATAGATCTACTACTATATAACAATAGCAGACGCTCCAGGTCAACAGTCATGTTTGTTTTCAAAATATAAAAATATATAAACGCTGCTACAGTAAAAATGTTCTGGAGAAAAAAGTCTGGAAGAAACACTGTAGGGCATTCTAGGGACCTATTCTATTCTATAGTCTAGATTAGCTATGAGCTAGACTGATAGGCCCAATATTTTTAATCAGAACAAATTAATATTGCGATAATTAGTAGATTCTAGA